GTTTTTTGCCTTTGTTTACTTTCCCTTATCACCTATTCTTTCCTCATGGTGGGATATTATGTAAAATACAACCAGAATGGTGCCGAGATATGAGCAGAACTCGGTATTTCAGCTGGGCTTCGAACCAGTGACAACCCTTTTCGGGTGCCCATCACACAAACCGTGGCACTTGCGTTGTTTTTCTCTCCGCCAGTTTTCTATTTTGACAGTGCTATCAGCTTTCAGCTTAACTGAATTCAACGCCGACTTATGCTCCTCACATTATTACCATTGACGAGTGATGGCTGACAGCACCGATAGAGTAGAACATGGCTAAGAGGAAGACAAAACAAAGGTCTCGGTTAGTGTGGTGGACAGCACAAGTGCTCCCGTAAGTTGTAGTCACTGGTCCGGAGCCCATCCGAGGCTCCAAGTTTCACTCATTTCTCTGCGTCCTTGTAGTTGTAGTCCACATAAAATATATGTATTTAATGCTGAATGTTACTGAGTTGATGTCAATCTAATGACTACCATAGTTATACCGCCCTTATGTAGCAATCATTTCGATGCTTACTTCAAGCTTAATTAACCATATCGTAATTTCTCCAACACTAAATCTACACTGGTTGAAATGGCGGTTCCGAACTAACGAATTCATATCATTTTCCTTCATCGGTTCAAACCTAAAAGAAACACTGCAGAAGCAACAATTCGAGCTCTCATTAACCGATTCCGCCTCCACTACTTGTTTGGTGGACTATGCGTAATTCTTCGTCGGCTGCTGATTTTCTTTTGACAGTCAAAAACCCGCTCTGAACAAGTAGCGAACTCAGAGGGGTTGTGAACATGACAGGCTTATAGAAGAGAATTGGCTCTATCATTCTATGGATGTCAATAATATGTGTGGTACTATTTACTGTGATCCATTATACAAATAATTATGCAAATACATTGCTGTCTGCAATTGGAAGTATTTTCCAGCTTATGTTGAGTCTATTTCGGATTTTTTTTATAACCAGAGATCCTACAAAATAGAAGCGATTTATGATAAGAACTAAAATTGAGTAGCAGCTAACTCCTTCTTAGTTTATTACACTAATTTTGATTTTGAAATTTTTGATTTTCTGATTCATCCAAACGGTTTACCGCCTCATCGTGGCTACGAGGTGTTCCCCGGTTTGGGGCTGCGATGTACAACGGGAGGATTCGTTCTTCCGGTAGGGTCTCCCAAACTGAGAGGGAGTCGGCGTTTCTATCGGGAAACCTAGCTAAGAGTAAAGCAATACCAGGATCCACCGCCGTCTTCGCACCAAAGTCGCATGGTGACAAATCTCCCTCTGATCCACAAAGGCTACGACTGCCCATAGTGGTGAAGACCTGGGGCAGACTTTGGCCAGGGTAACCTCGGGACTCCAGGTAACCACAATGGCTAGACCAGCAAAACTCCGAAAAGGCGGAAATAATCTTAAGGTAGTATTAACAAAAGGTACTCGATAAACGTCTACCGACTTGTTTACAATCATATGTTGTTGACGCCGAATACGTATATATTTCTTCTGGGTGTCTAGCTACGATCAACAAGGCACTGATAGATTTAGGATTCCTGCTTCGTCGCATCATACAGATGTTATATTCACGTGCAATCTATTCGATCAAGTGCTTCAGTCGGCTCGAAGCGCTAGATTTATGCTGCCACTAACAGTAAATAGTAATTTTATAAGATTCCACCGTTTATTCATTACCGTTCACTTCGCAAATGAAGTGGAACATCCATTGATTTCTGTAACGATTTTTCTTCATTCCTTATTCTGTTTCTTGGAAGAGTCAATACAAAAGTGTTTGCGGCCTTCAAATGCCTTTCTATGGACACGTGTAGCTCACTGGTTAGAGATGTCCTGCAATAAATACTGGATTGACCACTGGCTTAACCCCACGCTCTTGGCTCGCTAAGCGTTTAATCTATCAGGACTGGAAAAATTGGTACCAAACTTTTCTGTGACGACAGGAACACTGACTTACAGCGGTTGGCCACAACAAGCCATTATACCGCCCAATATGCATACAAATAGCTCAACGATGCTACGAATGGAGTCCAATGCACAGCGCGACCTTAGGTGTTGATTAAAGCCGAACGCTTCATCCTTTTATCCTCCACGTACTTTTCATAGAGAAGTGCCACCAGCATATGGTGAGCAATATACGAGTACAGCTTTCGCTCGTGCTTAAGACGCTAAGCAAATCAGAATCCATTTCACTGCTCGCGTAGAGGAACAACCTATTTTCTTGTAATCTTAACTTTTACAATAGACGAAAAAGCATATAGAGATGTAGCAGGAGCTAGTGATAACTATCTAAAGACGACTGTGGAGAGTTATCCTTTCAAAAACTAGTCGGGAGGTTGCGTGTGGACCCAGCGTTTGCCAATCAACAGAGGCTCGTCATTTGGCCGACAGTGGAAAACTGGTGAAGTTGTATAAAACGCTGAACGAACTCAAAAGAAACATGTAGTTCGCAGTCATGAGGTCTCTATCTTTCTAACTATTATGCGACCCCACATCATATGTATCACAACTGCGAATGCCAAGACTTCCTGCATTCGATTCATTTCTTGGCGTCCACCATTTGGGAAGGTCTTCGAAACATTCTGCGCGCAGCTTCGCATGCTGCCTGAGGATTTTTTTCGTCTTCGTACCGAATTCCGCTCAATGGTGGTCGAGTCCGATTGTCCCGGGAATTTGGAGATAGCCGAGCGTTCTCACGTTGATTGTAGGGAGCGAGCTTGTCTCTAACAAGTGTGCCAATTTCCCAACCCTGAAGGGATGACAGGTTTGGTGGGCTTGGGCAGGGTTCAACCAGCGCCTAACTGGGTTTGGCTGTCAACGTGATGATCGGGAACACTACCACTGCACTACTCGCTCCCTTTGAGGCCTCTTTTTAGCAGCAAAGCCCACAGTTTCTTCCACTATCGTGTTTTATGATTAAAACTGGATTCTTCACGACAAATGACGATATTTAGCTTAACGATCTGTCCCATCAAGCTCGTAAACGCTTCTTAAGGTCAGATTTTACATCAAGAGGAAGTTGTGATTAGAGTTTCTTAGACTGCTTCCCCGGTCAATCCTCACGTTTATGAATGCTGACAAAGTGTTCATATCGCCCAGTTGTGAAAAGCTGTAACGTCTTTATCCGAAGTTGGTCAGTTTTTTTCACAATAACGCTTGACCACGCCTTGAACAATTACCACCGCAGAAGCTATGCTAAGTGGGTTACGAAGCTCTGTTTCATACTGCACCGTAATCGAACCTTTGACTAACAGGTTACCACTGTTGCATGGATATCGATATCTAGTTACCAAAAAAGGGCTCAACAACAAAGCAACTATTGAAAACACTTTGGAGGAACTTGTGAATTCCAGAACCTCAATATTCTAGTCTACTGAATCAATCACTCTGTGTTTTGTTGGAAACAGTGAGTAGACTCCAGTCGTTACCTAGCTAGCAATTCAATATCCTCTTCTACATGACTCGTCCTCACACCAATTGTGCGGATCTCGGCGTTTCCTGCATGCGATTCGTTTCATTGCATCCATCGCCGACGAAGGTCTTCGAGTTCTTGCGTGTGAGTTCGGCTACTGCTTATCGATTTCTGCTTCTTTATGAATGTCGATGGATATCATCGACGTTGTACCTCCTGGAATCTGGGACTGGAGATAGCGAGTTGATACCGGACAATCCCGATACCAGTTTCTCGATCCCGGAGAGACAGTAGACTCAATAGGTTCTAGGCGGCATCGAACAAGCTTAGTCGTAGTAAATAGCAATCCTGTTGAATAGCAGCATAGAGTTCTATTAATGGACTGCCTGAATATCCATCATAATCTTAACACTGTGTAATCATGGTTGAATGCAAAATGTAGCAGAAAGTCAAGGTCGTTCTTGAAGCACTGTTTTAACACCTTCTCAGATCAGTTTGAATCCCACCGATGTACTGTACTACCACCTCATTGAAGCTAACTAGTGTTCTTAAATGCCGAACTGCAATGTACAGCGGGGTCGATCCCCTAGCACGTTTTCGCATGCTCAGAAGTTTAGAATTTCTACTCGGAAACCCAAGTTAAAAATTCTCAACGTGGCGAGCTACTGTCCGGTGCATAAACGTCAACTGCTTGTGATGGGAGCTTCGAATTGCCCTTACACCGCTCTTTCGGATTTCTAGATGAAAAAGATCTTGTCCGATTGGCATAGCAGTCGAGTAGACATTGCGCTGGAGCTCCCACAGTTCTTCACTAACAACGTCATCCATACAGAATGACACGGAAAAAATGAACATTTGTCCCAAAAGAAATGTCATAGACATCTGACAATACTGCGAACAGACCTAGCTTAACCACTTTTATGGAAGCATTGAAAGGCCCTTACCTTTAAGTCCAATAATGGAAATGGATTGTCCGCCAAACCCATCTGCGTAACTATATTCCGCACTGAACCAGCATAATGGTTTGTCCTTAGCTTACTTCTCAAAAGTGCATAGGAAAATGCTATACTTTCAAAATTTATAATTGTGCACAGTGCCGAACTACGGTCTCTCCAAGCAGGAAGAAATGTGTGCTCAAGCTGAGATCCAAGCTTGCCATTTCCTTCGCGATAGACATTGTCAACGAATTTTTTGGCTCTTCATGGCACTGAACATTCAGTACCAAACAGCCACGCATCATCGTTCATTTGTATCATCAGCCAATCATTTTTCATGCACCACCTACATTTAATCTATATAAATACGATATAAAATCCAGTTAAGCATAAAATTCTTCAAGGGAAAACGCGCAGTTTCTAAATTCTGAAAAGTCAACAAATATATATACGTACATGCATATATATATATATATATATATATATATATATATATGCACATGTATGTATACATATGGCAACAATCAGTTCAACAAATCGGGAGGGGAAAAACCAATAAAAGGAGCTTAGTAAAAAGAAGGCAACACAATGTCAACAATGAATATGGTGTACTTAGAATCGTGATTTTTGGGATTCTCTACGCCGCTGCGATGTGGCGCTTTGAGTTGATGCGCCAGTTCCTCCCCAAACACGTTTACTATGGCTCTCAGACTGACCAGGACGTCGGTCGCTCTGAAATAAATATTTTGCAAACCATATCGATCGTCTTGGTTAGTTTTTCAGTGTTAGTTAGAGGGAAAGTGGCCAGTGAAAGTATGTAACCATACGAAAAATTTCCTTTGCATTTTAAGTTGGTATTTCGTTTAGTTTATACAACAGTCAGTCACACTACTATGGGTGACCATGATCCAGTTTTCAAGAAATTTGAAATCAAGGAAAAATGAAATAAAGAATTTCTTCGAGACTACCGTTGCGAAATTGTGGAAGAAAAGGCATCACTAGGGCTGACCTGAAACACTCCCCCACGCTCTCCCTTTTGTTTCTCACCCTGTCGATCGCTACGCCCAGGAAACCACTGTCCAGGACCAGCATAACCACTTCTTCCAGTACGGGGCTCAAGAATCTGAATAAAGGAGCTACTCTAAAAACATCTTCTTCAAAACAAAAGTTATGTAACCCTACATAGTCCACTTTCCAATGTACCTAACAAGTTGTTGGCTCCTAATTTTCAAAAACTGGTACAGTCATTTCATCGACTTTTGTGTAAGTTCTCGCAAAAATAATTAACAACTGGATCAGAAGTTTCTCTTTTGATCAATTAAAAGTCTTCTGAATATAAGCAGAATACTACTCGAGCGAGATAATAAATAAAAAAAATTGCCTGTTCATTGTTATCAGCCAGTTGTTGCAATTTATCTGTAAGATTCAATGCAATCATTTGAAGGCGCGAGGGCTCTACGCGATGCATCATTAAGCAATCTGTTGGCTCGTCGAGAGTAGCGGATAGCTCCTCTTGAATAATCATTTTGCTGCAATAATCACAATGATTTATGAAAGGGTAAAAGGATAAAGCTTTCTGCGTTGATCAATCCCTGAAGGATGGGCCATGTATTCCGCTTCATTTAGCATCGGTCGGTGGTGATTGAATGCATGTCTGGCCCTTACATGCCCTTACTCACGGTGGCCTATGGGATGTATCGAGCCATTGCTGTTATCCTCCCAGAAAAATTTGGTACCAATTTGCTGATCCCGGAGAGATGGACGGCTTGGTGAACCACGGGTGAGGGGATCAATTCCATGTGCATTGCGAGGCGCCTCCAACCACTGAGTCCCACAATGATTTACCACAGGAACAAATAGCTCATGATAATCCAGACTTCGTTTAATTGCTTATTTTTGCAGAAGAAATATGAAATAAAATGGATGAAATCAAAACTAACCTGATTACACTATGAACTTGTTTTTTGTCCAACTCAAACAAAGTTGCCAATTTTTTAAGAGATACTGTTGCATAGACAGTTGAATACATAAGTAAATAGGTCCTATAAAAATATTAACAATTAACCAATGTTAATACTCTAATTCTGCCACACTAATATCTGAACAATGACAAAGAAAAGCAGCGCTGAAAAATAATTTATACGCTCTAACACCAACCTAAGCGACTCTTCTTGAATGCGCTTAACCACCATTTCCTTCACACTTTCTGCGTTTCGGAACAAGTTCCATACCTACAATATTAAAGCGGTAAAAAGATATAAAAAACAAAATCTCGTCGACCGTTGACAGGAATTTGCCGCGTTTAGGCCAAGATTTTTTCTGGACAGCAACGAATCGTGTGATGGTGGCAACTACTAAGACTAGTCGGCCACCGATGGTGAAGGATTTAACAAACCAAATCCCGTTATACTAAGGCATAAAAGCACAAAAATGTGCCCGAGAATATCACACACCTTCTGGTTCATTTTATCGTTAACTATGTAATCACGACACTTCTTCCAATCACCAGCTAGCATTGCTCGAGAAGCAGCGACAACATGCTCCCTGGTATTTTCCGGTGGACCGATCAAAGAAGACTTAAATATTCCATTATTACTAACAATCTACCAGTTTGTTAGAAAAGCCTTCTAATAAATGCAGTTGAAAGACCAAACACATTTCAAATATCGGTTATCAGAAACATAAAAAGATATAGAACGAAAGCTGGATCACCCACTTTCTCACTTTGTTTGAGCTGATAGTGGAAACTCCGGCTAAGCAATCGTCGTCGCATTTCAAACTCACAGCTTGCCATATGTGGAATTTCTAGCAACATAGAGCAAATCAGATAAACACACTCCATTAATTCTACGTTTATGTGCATGTGATAAGGCACTTGACGCTGACGTTCCAACTTCTCCTAAATATATACCGGATATCAAAGTAGCTCGTAATGAGTTAACTATTATACTTCCTACGAGTTGATGTTACAAGACCAAGAAATTCGGTACTGCTAAGTTTGTCGAGATGGAAGATTCTAAGCTTCAGATGAAGAAAAAAACAAGCGGTTCTTACAACAGAAGAATAGTTGTTAGAACCTATAACAACATTGTATGGAAAGGAAGACCTGTTCAGCAGTCCTTTCGTGCTGTCTCATAGTAACTGCTTGAGCAAGCAATTCCTTAGCTCGTTGAGTATTCTGAATCTCAGACAATCCCTGATGTGCCTCCTTAATAAAGCCGTGGCGGAACGCACAAAGACCTAGTTGACAAATGGTTCGATTGTAGAGAATCTGTAAGGAACACTACAGCAGTAGTACGTATTCCTGGACTTTCGCACAAACGTCATAAAACATAATTTTAGAAAACTGCTGAACATAGATCTAATCACATATAAGCAGAATAGCTTATTTACCTGCGTATCTGTGTCTGAGTGATCAACGATAGCTTGAAGATGACTCATTAACATTAAATCCCTAGCACGGTGCCACTCATCATGCAGCGCTAACCAGTATACATGGCATAACATTGCTCGTTGTCTTAACCGTTTTTCCTCGTCCAGAGCATAAATCTTCTTGCAAAGTCGGTCCATTATATCACCAACAGGCTCATCACCGTCGTAATTGTCTTGGTACTGAAATAAAAAGTGGTTATCGTCTAAAACAGCTATTGCACAATAATCTACGATTTATTTCATATTCAATTTCCTGTTGAAACTCTTTATAAACGAAACGTCTTCACATCTACTACGCTAATCCCAGCATTTTCTGCATTCGATTCCTTTACTCGTAACCCTCACCAACAGAGATGATGGTAGATGTCGTTGAATATTAGTAAAGTCAAATTCTCCTGAAGTGTTGGAATAGCTGGGCCAGAGTTCCATTTTGGACTGCAGGAAGTGCATCGTTCCCATACTAGTACTAATTTTGAGACTCTGGAGGAATGAGAGGCTACGTGACCCCAGAGAATGGGTTGAACCAGCCCCGTACTCGTTAAGAACTTAATTACCTACTTGGATATTTCGACGGTCTGTCCTCACTAATTGTGCGACCTCCAGAATATTTTCCATTTTTCGGAGTTTTGCTGGTTTAGCCACTGCCGTTCACTGGAGCCCCGAGGGCAGTCTGACAGTCTGCCCCAGGTCGTCACCACCACAGGCAGCTGCGGCCCTTGTGAATAAGAGGGAGATTTGCCACCACGCGACTAGGTTGATATCAGGACGATGGTGGGTCCTGGTATCGGTTAACTCTTAGCTAGGTTTCCTGATAGAAAACTGGATTCTTCAACTTGGGAGACCCTATCTGGTAGTTGTACATCGCAGCCCGACACCCAAGAACTCCCACCCACGATGAGGCAGCAAACCATTGGGAAGCGTGAACAACTATCTACCTATATGTAAATTTCTCGTCTTTACAACGGTTTTACAAACAAGAGCTTCATCAGTTCTTTGTTTTGAAAGCAACTTAAGATGAAGATCACTTGCATGGCAAAAATAAAGTGTTCCACAAAGACCTGGATGGCATGTATCATTGATCAAACATAAAAGACCTTATAGTAAAGATGCTCGATTCTCGTCATGTATACTTTGCAAACTTCGTCCACATCGAAAATATCCTCATGAATGCGCTCCTGCACGTATTTCTCGGTCCGTTCGATCAAAGTACACATGTCCTTCTCTCCTTTCAACCTCAAAATCACCCTTTTCATACTTGTAGTAAAATTTTTTTAAAATAGAATTACTGATTCGAAAGCATGAGCAGTCCTTAGACAATGAATTCCACTTGGAAACAAAAGTGCGCTAGAAAATAAACGCTAACTTTTCAATATAATCATTAGAATGACAGTCGGCATTCTGGAGAATTTTCGTCAATTCACTGTCAAGACGCTGAACTGTCATCAACAGTGATCCTTGGATCTTGTACGGCATTGTTTCGTCCTAAAATAATTACTAGTTTATAAGAGTTCAAGCAGAAAATAAATAAGAAGTCCCATTGTGATTAAGTACAAAGTTAGCTAAAAACCTTCAGATTCTCTTCTTCTTCAAAGAACTTTACTGAAAGTTTAACTTCTGGATGTGCTATTAAAATGTCTAGAAGCTCCGTAACCGCAACAAGCGTCCTGAAACATGTGAACTTTACTTCAACACTCATTACATCAGAAAATGAGGAGGGTACTCACTTGTTGAAGTTTGAGAATTCCATGAAGTCACTAATTTTTGTGTTTATTTCAAAAAGCGATGAAATGATGTTAAACAAAATTTTGACAGAAATTCCAACACCGAGCTTTTTCTGAAAAAAATAAGGGTACCAGTGAGAACATTCGACACGAAAGAAAAAGACACAAACATCATGAAGGACGAAAAAAAAAACAATTTTACCTCTTCGGCAATTTTATATAACTCTTGTAGTAGGCGTACGTGCTGCTTTCTGTTCGTGCCTAAACGACCCCTTGATGCCATCACCTCGGTCAGCTTACTGATCATCGCCTACACGACAATATAAAATTAAGCCACGTATTTTTTCAAATGTTACACATGCAAACAGCTTCATATAAATTAGAGTAAAATTTCTTTCCCATAATGACGAACATTTAAAGCCCAAAAAATCTTGACAACTTCATAAACAACTTTGAAATGAAGGTAAGTATAAGATTATGTTTCGGAAGTAAACCTGAAAGCAAAATTACTGCGCTTCTCAACAACATATGAATTTGTCATGCTTTTTAGCTAACCCAATTTCAAGGTGTATTTTAAACGAAATTCGCTCACATCTGCCAAATTAATGGACCAAATACTATCAAAAGTTAAATCAAACCTCATGTGTGACCTCTTGTTTGGGTTCAAACAGATGAACTTGTTTCTCCTTTGTAATAGGTGTCCATTCACCACCATCATCGTCCTCGTCATCGATGAGATCAAGTGCAACCTTTAAAGTGCTGTTAATACATCAACGATTGATTAAGAAAGCAAAAAAAAACTATAAAAACCGAAATTATGAGTTCCAACTTCCTAGTTAAATTGACACTAGCCGGGAATTAGCAAAAAAAAAATACACGCACACCAGAATGACCCTTCCCTAGAGACCGTGTCGCGATGAGGTCAATCGTTTCCTCCAATAGTGATCATCGTTTACTGAGGTGGTTTGCTTCATGAATAGTTACGTCTAAGGAAATCACTGCGTTATCTACCGATCTACAAGTTGTATAGAGCCGTCAACAATCACGGGTGACGTGGGCCATGAAACATTCCCTTCCATGTGACCATCCTTATGGCGCCTCCCTGAGATCTATTTCACTGACTTTCGTGTGCACTTGTCGTCGATTCTTCTCATCAGATAAAGAGTGGAGGATTCGGATGCCTAGTAGAACGCAGGCACATAATTTCACAGTAGATTTGGACCTGTCAAATGGTCACTAACTTGTATAAAAATCCAATTTTGTATTCGATCTGTACAGTTTCTTTTAATTAAACCATTCAATCCGGCGTATATCACGTTATAAGTTTTCCATGATCCAGGTTTTCTTCCCACTTATTCGCAATCCTATTGCTCTCCTTGCTTCGTTGAACTCTTCCAGCATATTTCAAAAACTTTCCTTTAACCACGACATGACTAATCAGCATTTGTTTCCGAGCTAACACGAGGTTGAAAAACAACTGTATTCGGCTAATGTTTCGACGCATTCATCTTCTTCAGAGCCGGTGATCCAAGTCGATGCCCACAGTTGTTCGCACACTCGTTGTCGTTCCTTCTTCGTCGTATCGAGTCGGAATACATCAGTATAGTTTTTATCTCACATTTATTTCTTTGTATGGTGATGATGTCGGCGAAAAGATAAAGGCTACACACACATATATATGTGTACATACATATGCGTATATATATATATATAATATATATATATACATATATACATTCATCACAGTGGAGTGATTTTACTATCCATCTTAGTGTTCGGTGAACAAGGTTTGGCGAAACGGCATCATACTTCGAAGAAACAACGGTTGCTAAAACAATACACTAGAACTTCTTTTTAAGGTATACTCCCACTCATAAGCGACGAACAGAGCATCTCTTCCATGCTAAGTTTTTCCAACGTCGTAGCCTCAGAACTGTGTTTCTATGCTCTAGATCCCAAGAGAGATAAATTTACTGACGAGTGCTCGTTACTCAGCAAATTCTGTGTCATGGCACAAGATCTTTTACTCTATTTCTATTGTTAATTTATTATATGACCCAGGATCACATGTACTACACTCTGCAGATCTTGGCACTTCATGCGTTCCATTCCTTTCTTCGCAAACACCAACCACAAAGTTCTTCGAATTTGTGCTTGTCGCTTCAGCTGCTGCTTGAGGATTTTTCACTTCTGCTGAGAATGTCGTTGAGTGCCGGTCGAGCAGATTCTCCTTATAATCCTGAGAAAACCGCGTTTGAGATCCAAACGTGGATTGAAATGAGTGAGGTTGTTCCAAACAAGTCTCGTATCAATTTTCCATCCCCAGAGGTACGAGAGGCTTGACGGACTCGATGCTTGGTACCGCCAGAACCTAGGTATGCTGGCCTACCCCGTAATGAACGGGATGACTACCACTCGGCTCCCTGCTCCCGCACAAAGTGTGATGAACGTTAAACAGCGAAACATCACAGTTTTCAATTGCAAATTACGGAGTGAGATAATGGGAATGTCACCTTCGGGCTAAAAGCGAAACAACTAGCAGTTTTCCCTGTAAGTTGCAAAATTCTTGCAAGAATCTGTGACCACCTTTAAATTTTCCTCATCTGCTGACTTGTATGGAAAGGACTGACAAGCAGTAATTGATGATAGTTACGTTCCCTTCAAACAACGGTTGGAGAACGAGGAAAGACAAACAAAATGGTCGAAATTGCAAGAGGTGACGTGATAAGTTTACTGAACGATATGCGACAATGTTTATGTCACCGATATCTTGCAGCACAACTTTACACTCACGTATAATAAGAATCGCCTAGTTCAATTAACATATGTTGGTGTCCCTGATTTTAGTTCGTAGTAGAGCGACGTGGAATTCTATATGCCCTGTGACATTAGCAACTGTGCGAAGATCTAAATCTAAAGAAACTTTTCGCTGTATAAACGCAAAACAAGAAACACTGCATGGCCTGCCATGGACAATGTTTTGACCCGTTCTTTTGTGGTAAGAGCTGAGCTTGAGCCGTTCTCAGATTTTTCACCGTATCGTCTTGCAAGTAACAGTGTCTTCTGTATGGGGTGTACTAGAATTAGGTTCATACTTTTGCCAAGACGTTTTTAGAATGCCAGCAAACAGTACCAGGTTATTGTGAATCAGCGGAGAATTTTCCACCTTATTACTAAGTTTTAACCAGGACGGCAACAATTTCCAGCCGTCATCTTCTCTTAGATTTGCGAACAGTAGTTCCGGAACTCCAGCATGTGTGATTGTCAAAGTCGTATGGTGGCAAATCTCCCTCCGCTCCATAAGAGTGGCGAATGTATGTGGTGATGACGAGCTGAGGCACACTTTAGCCAGGGTGACCTCGGAATTCCAGGGGACTACAATTGCTTAACCAGCAAATTTCCAAAAAATGGATACTAAACTGGAGTCCGCACAACTAGTGATGACGGGCCGTTCAAGTATCAAGTAATGGTAATAAGGACCGAAAGGAAAACACGATCTACCGCGCAAGTACAATAATGTTTACTTACTTTTGGCTTGTTCTGATCTCTTTGTTTGCGCTTCTTCTCCTTTTTAGTGTCAGCAGCGCCTTCATCGTTTCCACGGAACTCCTTCCTTAACGAATATATAAAATAAGCAGACGAGTAGAAATTTGGAAAAGATTTGGAAAGCAACAACCATAATGGACTTGTGGCACACTAAATACTCCAGCGAGATTTTAAAAAAACTAAATACGCATTTTGTAGGATTACTGAGCGAAACCGACTTTAGGAAGTGCCTTCTCAGAGCCTCCATCTTAGAACCAAAATCAGCATCATCGTCAGATGCGCTCGAATCGCTATCTGTAGACCAGTCATCTGAGTCACTCTGAAGGATAAAAATCGTTTAAAACAAAAATAGAAGCTAAAACCACTGGAAAGAATAATTGGCCAAAAGTTAATTGCAAATCATTAGCTAACTTTCGCCATTAACGAAAGCAAATAAGGACTCAACGATAAAGAAGCAGTTTAACAAAATAAAGGAGAAAATATGTCACCTCAGTTTCACTGCTTACATCGTCCTTCTTTTTTTCCTTTCCAGTTAGTGGGGCTATTTCAAGGGCATCATCACTTGATTCATCATCCTGAAGTCAAGAAAAAGCATAAAGTACGTTTTTATTTAAGGTAAGAGATTTTTACGATAAAGCAACCTCTCCGTCTTTTTCCTCGGGAGTCTCGTAGCCTACAGGATCAGGACTTTCCCGATAATCACTGATTTTCTGCTCGAACTCCTTCACATACTTCCGAACTTTCTGTCGTAAGTTAGTGAGCGCTTTTAGGTTTATTTTCGACAACGCCTAGAACACTGTAATAAATTTTAAAAAGGTACAGCTACAGTAGTTACAACGCTTACATTTTTCGCATCTTTGTTATCCCAGAAGCCGAGCACGAAGTCCTCCAAATCAGCAAGATACCTGTGAACGGTACGTAAAGCAATCTTTATTTGTGAATTTCTATTTGACAAGAGTAAAATCACACTAAGAAACGGAATGGATAAAAAACATTGGAAACGAAAACTGAACTGAAAATCCCAGCACCCACTTTCTTCTAATCTTGGCATTGATCATTCATTCACCGTTTTTTCTCGATAGGAAAACACGACATTGTTATTACAGAATTTGTTGAATCACAATACCTAACGTTTCGGAGGTGTCGCCTTTTTCAGAGCATAGAAGGGTTAAACTGACATGCAATCTACTCAATTAAACATTTTCATAACCACGGCACATAAAACCTAATCATGGATTTTCATCTGCATAACAAGTAGCGTCTTTTAACATTCACAGCTTTGCCCTTTGTTAGTCTTAAAGTGATCTGGCGGAGACCAGCCGCACATAGTCCTACACGGCTGAAGAATATGTTTGGCTCAGTAAAAAGAATCAGTATGAGGTATGGAGATAACTCACACGTGATCAAAACACTCCTCCTTGCAGTCTATTTTTTAATTCTCGATATCTATCCAAAACGCTTCCAGAGCTTTATGAACTGGTATTTTAGATTCCCGTGCTACGATACCGTCTTTTAGCTTAAAATCTTTTCCATTATGTCTCTGTGTTCTATGCGCGCCTAGTGAAGCATATGGTTTAGCAAAAAGTTTACTGACTATGTGTTCTTTTATATGAACGTATATTACTGTTCCCGTTTCGCCAATATATTTGTCCCGCACGCTTTACAAGATATTTGCTATACCGTACCCGAACTCATGGTTATGGAGGTGTTTGACTTAGTAGATTGTAATCAATTTGATCTTTCCAGACTCTCAAGAAGGCGAAATCCGCCGAAACGATAGGCATTATGAAATAAAAACGCTATAATAACAACCTCGTGTTTGCTCATCATGGAAAATAGTGAACTGAAAACTTATGGGAACACAGCTGCTATGAGAAATGTATTAAACTAGTAAGCTACGAATTTTTTTAACAGCAAAAAACCTCAGTCAACAGCATGTTTGATGACAAGAGCTTAGCAGTCAAGCTCTGATGGAAAATAAGAATCTCTATTCAAAACTCTTAAGTTCTAGTCAAATGGTCTCGATTACAAGAAGGTCATTATTACCTTACACCATGCTCAACGTTGGGTTACCACTGCACATCTCTTTTAAAACGACTATACATGGTCTTTCCAATACGATAAAGGAACCACCACAAGAAAACGAAGACGTGGGAACGTTAGTCGAGCATAGATTTTGTTTCGTTAGCTCCGTATTAGCTTAAACACCTCAGTTATACATTGCAAGCAAAAAGTACACATTGTTTGAAAATGGAAGGAAAGTTCGATGGGGTTTTAAACATGAATGGCCCCAAATGCAAGAACTTTTCTCAGCTATATGATATTAAAATCATATAATCGAGCTGAAGTTAGCAATTAAAGCAATGATATATGATGTCCTAAGCCAATTATACGTATATATTTTGCTACTGAAACGAAATATAAAGGAAAAAATTTAAAAGCAGAGGCATAAGAAAAAAAGTGGAATCTGCAGTAAACGCTGACAAAACCGACCAGAAGGTGAAGTAGATAAACAAGAGAATGAGAAAATTACCGAATATAGAAACGAGGAGTGGAGATATTTTGCCGAGAAAACACCGTCTTTGATTTGTCGTATGCCTTTACCAGATCGTCAAACACTGAACAAAAAGAAAAAGTAGGAGCAATTTAAAGAGCTGCAAATGTGAAACCTCACCAGCTAATGTTTTGGTGAAGTCCTTATTGTTTTTAGCGTTGTTAATCTGCTTAATAAGGTCCTTGAGCTCCTTGAATTTCTTCTCTTTGTGCGTACGGACGATACGCTTCTCTTCGTCCTCGCTGTCACTCGGATAAGCGAAATCTCGAGCACTGTAATATAAAATAAACGAAACTGTAGAAAAATAGACCACATGGTGGAAAAGTTGTGGTTTGTGTAAAGGATAAAGGATAAAGGATAAGGCTCTCGGCGTTGATCGATCCCCTAGCGATGCGCCATGCATTTGACTTCATTAAGAATCCTTAGACGTGATTGAATGCATATTTGGCCCATACATTGACTCGCGGTGGCCACCGATGTGTTGAGTCACTGCTGCTATCCTCCCAGACAAGTCCTGTACCAATTTTCCGACCATGGAGATATGAAAGGCTTGCTGGCCCAGGGGCGCATCCCACACGTATACAAGGCGCCCCCGACCACTGCTCCACACGTAGTTTGGATAGAAATGAAAAATCTGGTTAGAAATACACATTGTTACCAACCGCTCAATAGCTATTATTTAAATATAAAACCTTTCGAGTATATGTGCTAAGCCAGAAATATATAAAAGCACATAAAAGTGAAATGTAAGAACGAAGTCGCAGCATAATTTAGTATTGGCAAGGCATTAAAGGGATGACTATTATCAAAGCTTCGCAAATCCATTAAGAAAGAAACGCAAAGTTGAAGACATTAGCAGGTAGAGAGTGGTCAACATAAAGCACTCAACATAAAGAAATTCCGAATATGCTTTTATAGTAAATTCTTCTCGGCAGAGGTACGGGACAATGGACTTAGCAGAGATGTGATTAAGAACATTTCAAAAGAAATGATGTGAATTATAGCAAGAAAAACTCACAGTGGGACCTTTTTGATCGGTACCTCTTCTTCAACATCGGAAATGTCGGACTCTGAAGAGGAGTCGGAGCTTACAGCTCCCTTAAAAAACTTCGACATCTCAAATCACTAGGACGGGATGAAGCGGCGGAAGATACCTAGCTCAAAAGCTACTTCTAGAAACGGAGATATGACAAACGAATGCAAAACACATATACGAAGTGGAAAAACTTCATAATATATCGATAAAACACGAAAACACATCGTAATTAAAACTAAGTCATTACGAACTGATTATAAGAGTATGGCAGCCCGCAAAAGAAGACAACTGATAAAAAGGATAAAACGATAAAGCGCATGGCGTTGGTTAACTCCTTAGGGATATGCCATGCATTCGATTTCATCAAGAATCGTTCGGAGGTGACTGAATGCATATCTGGTCTTTACAATGACTCGTGGTGGCCTACTGATGTATCGAGATAGTGCTGCTATCCTCCCAAATAAGCATGGTAACAATTTGCTGACCCTGGAGAGACGGAAGGCTTGGTGAGGCTGGGGTGCGGGGATCGATCCCTTGTGTACTGCAGGGCTCCTCCGACCACTGTACAACACACGCCCCGCAAAAGAAGACACCTGATATAAATTGAAGGTTGCACAGTTACTAAAGCAGCACAAAGAATTTAAGCTTTTTGAGCTTGGAGGTGATATTCGGAATTAGGTGAAGGCTGGGAAGAAAACTGAGACACATGGAATCACACTCGGATTCAGAAGATAGGCAGACCGATTTCCGATTAAAGACAGATCGAGTGGAAGGGTTCGCCGATGATGAAACATTTAACGAACATCTGCTATTTCACATACAGAATACGCTCTCAAGCAAAGCATTTTTGGTCGGGATAAATTTAGCGCATGCTTGAACTATACATACCTAAGTGAAAAAAGTTATGACATATGAAGAACGACACTTTACAACCTTAATTCAAACTCTACTACATTATTAACACCGAACCATCGTACTCATTCTACTGTGGTTACGAAAAATCATAAACATTAAGAAATAACTCGTGGGCATATTTGGACAACTGGACGAGTTGTCTCGTGCGGTCTCCATTTTGTGAGGACTGTTACAGGCCCGGACAACGCCTGATTACCATCAACAACTGCATAGTTTTCGCTTACTTCATACTTGAATGGACCGTCTTCACTGGTTGTATAGTCCCCAGCGAAATTTGCATTTTTTCGGAGTTTTTCTGGTTTCCTCCCAACGATTTACCGCTTCATCGTGGCTGGGAGGTGCTCCTTGGTGTCGGGCTGCGATGTACAACGGGAGGATTCATCTCCCTGGGAAGGTCTCCCAAGCTGAAGAGGAGTCCTGCGTTTCCATCAAGAAGCCCAGCTAGGAGTAAGCCAGTACCAGGATCCACCACTGTCCTGGCATCAAATTAGTCGCTGGTATCCCTGATCCCTCTTATCCTCTGTATCTCCCTCTGATCCATAGGGACGGCTACAGCAACTGGTGGAGATGACTTGGGGCAAACTTTGACTGGGCTCACCTCGAGGCTCCAGTGAACCACAATAGCCAAACCAGCAAAACTCCGAAAAAAGGAAATTGTGCTGGGCCCGCACAATCAATGAAAGCCGGCCATCCTAGTATCTAAATAAGTAAGTTTTCTGGTCTAGCTATTGTGGTTTCCTAGAGTCCCGAGGTCAGCCTAGCCAAAGTCTGCCCCTGGTCGTCATCACTACAAGCAGTCGTCGCTCTTGTGGATCAGAGGGTGATTTGCCGCCATGCGACCAGTTTGATCCAGGACGGTTGTGGATCCCGGTACTGGTTCAATCAAAGCTGGGCTTCCTAATGGAAACGCCGACCTCCTTCTCAGCTTCGAAGACTCGGTTGGGGGATGAATTATATACAATTTTAATTTTATATACTCTGACAGATCCCCTTTAAGCTACCCTTCATATCAAATGAAATAAGTCACGCCATTAAGACGTGCTTAAGAAAAAGTAGTTTTGAAAATTATGTAACGATTGTTGACATCCCACCCAATACCCTACGCCGCCAGTTAGTTCGAAACCGTCTCTATGATCGTTTGTGCAGCTCAGAAAACTGTTTGATCTGTCCTAACGGGAGAGACGGGGATTGCATGAGTTTAGGTATAATATACTTGATCTCATGTAATGCATGCGGCGAGGAATATATCGGGGAAACGGGTAGACCACTTTGTGTCCGCATAAAAGAACATCTAGATGGGAAAGCTAAAATCCGTTTAAACACCCCTCTAGGTACGCATAGGGCACAAAAGCACAACGGCGATGATTTTGAAGTCAATGTGCGGATCCTAGCGCAGGAATCAAAAACATCAACGCGCAAAACTCTTGAGGGGTTTTGGATAAATTTCAAAAATCCAAAGATGAACCGGAAGGACGAATGCCTCACTATCACGCGTGACCTAACCCCCTATTTCAAAATGATATTTTGACCCCGGGGCGTGTCTTGCTCGCGACTCCACGTGAAGTACGTGTTGGTCAGTCCCACACGTAACATCACGGTGAGTGGCCTTTCTGTTCAATATGGCGTCCATTTGAAAGTTTGATCTTCATTAATACTTTAACCTTCTTTTCCACCGAATAATAAAAAGTATTCTAACATAAAGTACGTCCAGGCTCTGAGGAAGGCGAAGTCGCCGAAACGTCAGCCATCGATCAACAACATCAAAAACAACGACAACGAAGATCTGTACCAACCTCGCGTCAGCTTAAGAAGATCAGTTTATAAGATCACATAAATAAATATTGATAGAACTAGCTGAGAGACAAGCGAAACGAAAGACTCGCATGGTGTGGTGGTGAACGCGTTACTCCCAGGAAAGGACAATGGAACGTTCGTTCCCCACCGCAGACACCTGTGGCCCAGAGTTTTGCAAATATCTCAGAATCATTGAACTTAACTGGTCGTTGTGACAGGCCAAATATGCCTTCAATCACCTCGGCAATGTTGTGAATGCAGTCCAATACATGAGCCATATCTTTAATCCTTCATAAGCAAATATAAGTACAGTGGTATGTCAATGGCTAGCTTGCAGCAAGCCCAGAAATAAATGACTCGAAACATCTGATCTACGCTTAGACAGACCACATGACGTGCATGGATGCATGATCTTAGATATAATACAACAACTGAGGTACCCATTAGGAAACAGTGGTGATTCCAGTGAAGAAGCCAGCACTCGCTTGGAATGTCTCGCATTGAAAACTTCCTAACGATGTCCTCACACGATAAGCTCGTCAGGCGTTTGGTTTCATTACAGCTTCACATATGAAATAAAGGGTAAACGAAACTCCAGGCATCGACTGATCCCTGGAGAATGGACCTGCATTTGATTTCATCAGGCGTGGCCATCCATCAGGCTGGTTTGTCACAGTGAAGATATGAGCTATTGCCTTACGGACTACAAGAATTTTTCAGTTTAGCAACAACACCACCTGTGACCTTCGAAACCCAGAGTGAAGCGAGCTCAGTCTTCTGCTCAGCAAGCAGCTTGACTAGATCGTCTTTCTTCAGGTTGCGGAGATCGCGAGCTCGAATCTTCGTCATAGCTGGCCTTCAGTTCACTCAAACTCTGTAGATGCTTGGAGCAGAAGACTGAGCTCGCCTTACTACGGGTTTCGAAGGTTACTGGTGGCGCGGTTGGTAAACTTTGCAAAATTCGTGTAGTCCGTAAGGTGATAGCTCGTGTCCTCGCTGTCATTAACCAGAACTACAAACAACGCAAATTTCATTTATCGCTCATTTATCGTCTTCTTTGCTTCATTGGTACTTCTTGACATAATTACGATGTCGTGAACAAAACGAAAATTTTACGGGAATTTCCTTTAATATTACATATGCCTTTCTCATCCCAGTCGAGTGACTTCATTATCCACTGCAATGCGGCAACAAGCAGCTTTGTCGACAAGGTGTCGCCTTGGCCTGTGGATATAGTAAGTGGTCGATGGAAAAAGCTGTTTTCGTGATGCACTTTCGATAACAGTCAGAGTTCTTATATAGGACGAATCCACTGTTTCGTCGACAAGCGATGATAGGATTAAATTCGTTTCGACGCTGTCAGACGCTTTTTCATAGTCGGTAAAAGTTATGACTAGGAACAGATGGTTTTCACGACATGCTTCTACGACCCTGAGCACTGCTTTGATGTGGTTCATGCAGCTTTCTTTCAGCTTTCAGAAGTTCTGTCGGAATCCCGATTGCTCAACTGGTTGTGCCTCGTCCAAGGTCTTCGATATGCGGAAAAGGATAATCTTCGTCAACACCTTGTAGAGTACACTCGGCAAACATATTAGATAGCAGTTGCGAAGATCCCTTGGCTCACCCTTGAGTAGGATGACTGTGCGCGACGTCCTTCAGTGGTTTGGGATTTTCTATTTGTAAAGGTAAGATGTTATATGGGTTGCGAGAAGTACATGTAATTTGTGACGATAATCTCCAAAGAAATCGCCGGTAGCATTATCTGGTCCAGGAGCTGTGTCTTTTTCCCACATTTTATGTCGCAACTCAAACGTCAGAAGGGAGAATTCCACGTTGTCTCTCTCAAGTCGAAACTTTAGGGTCCAGGGCTGGGACTTTGGAGCAGAAAAGGTGGGTGTAGAACTTTTCTGTTATCAGTGCAATATTATAGCAGCAACTTTCATTGATACCATCTTCGTTTGTCAGAGCCTACAACGGGATATTATAAATACTTGCAAAATTATCCATCACTTTCCCATATTCCGAAAATCATTACCTTGCTGTAAGAAAGTTATTCGCTTGGCCTGAAACTTTATTCCAGTCTACAATGGTTGGCGACTGACGCTGATGACGACCTAGAAATGCCTTGGTATGGACGCCATGAAAGTTCAGGAAAAGAGAAACCTTTCTTAATCGGAGAAAATTACGCGGAAAATGAAAGTTAGGGTAAGAGCCGTGTAATTAATGACGACAAGCCATCTAAGCAAGTACTTATGCGTCAGATGGGGTTTTCTGATAAGTGGTAGGATTTTCAGTGACGTTTTCTACTTGGGCTTCAATTTCAGCCTTCCAAGTAAAAATATCAATTAGACAAAGTATAGAGCACAGTGCTTTCAACGTTGACCAATCTCTTAATCACGTATCATTCATTTGGCTCCAGCTCCATTCGTCTTATCGCAGAGGTGATTGGATGAGTATTGGAAACGAGCCATGGTGGTTTACCGACGTATCCTGCCGACGTATAGTGCTTCTATCTTGCCGAGAAATTTTGGTAACAGTATGCGGGCCACAGAGGAATGAAGTGCTTAATCGTCCGTGGCGCGCGATCGAACCCAAAAGCGACCTTGTATGTGCTGCAAAGAAACTTTAACCACTGCGCTACCAGTGGCCACATTAAGTGGACATTTACATTTAACCAAATGGCATTCTATGTGACTGTGTAATAGTATTGCCAAGTGTCATAACTCAATCACCACCAAACTTTATCATCTTTACATAATTCATTCTTGGTACTGCAATCAGCTATGTAGTCGATCATAAGCATATTTTTTCCACGCGGCACCGCTTTCTTTTGTCTAGAAATGTTTGCAAACTTGAATTTTTACATAATCATAAGTATACGTCGAAATAAAAAAGCGGCGGGTGAGAGACAAGACAAGACACTGGGCTATGCACATATAAAGATAATAAAAATTTCGAGGCACAGTCTGTTGTCTCAGAGGCGGGATGCTTGCGTATGGAGGGAGAAGCCGATATTCACGATGAAGACACCAGTCATAGTAGTGGATCAGGTCGCACACCAACTACAGACGATCCAGCGATACCTGAACATGAAGAGCAATCTTACATCGACAGCAATACTATGGCCAACGGTCGCTTCCTACTCCGGGTGTAAAACTTAGTGACTGCGCACGAAACCTTTGACCTACTAGAGTCAGAGTCGTTCTTCGTATCATATATCACATATACTTTTTTGGCTAAGGTTAGAAATTAGAGAAGCATTAAAAAAAAAAGGACGAAGTATTTCGATTTATCTGAAACGATTGTTATGAACTCTTCAAAAAATCACCTTTTCAATTAATCATGATCCATATTTTCGAAAAGACGAAGTCAATCTTGGGGAAACCAAACGTTTAGTAGTGACTTAATAGTAATGGAATAAATGGAAGAAAAAGATCGATTGTTAGTGAGGTCGTTTTTGTCGCTTGTCTGTCCAAGTCCATACATACGGTTTTCTGTTGCAGATTCACAGCACTTTGACTAATCTTTGGCTCTTCACTTCCTACTTTCAAGAGTCTTCATTTCTTAGGGCTCGACATCGCCTATTAGGTCTATCAGTTTGTAATCCTACCAGTCGTCAAATACCGTTAACACACTTTTCGTATGAGACGCTTCGTTAACATGGATTTAATGGTAATGTTTAGCTCTTTCTCAGCTTTGACGACTTCATCAGGAGAAGACCTTCTTGATATGCAGTCTGATACCTAGGAACGTCCTCATTCCATACTTCAGCAGTAAACAATTAAGGGCAAGGCAAATGTTGCTGGAAATTCCTTGCACTTGTACTTCATTAAGATGGAACTATTGTAGAGGTGTGCATTAACGCCGACAGGTAAATACCTTCTCTAAATAAGAGTGGAGCACAAGCGCAAATCTTCTTACTGTAGTGGAAAGATGATAACTTGCTTGATACTTGAACGGCCCGTCCTCACTGGTTGTGCGGGCCCCAGTATAATCACCATTTTTCGGAAATTTGCTGCTTAAGCCCTTACAGTTCCCTGGAGTGCCGAGGTCAGCCTGGCAAAGTCTGCGCTAGGTCGTCACTACGACAGGCAGTCGCAGCTCTTGTGGATCAGAGATTTGCCACCGTTCGACTTTGATACCAGGACGCTGGTGGATCCTGGTACTGGTTTACTCTTAGCTAGGCTTTCTGGTGGAAACTCCGGACTCCTCAGCTTGGGAGATCTTGCCGGAGGGACGAATCACCCCGCTGTATATCGCAGTCCGACAACCAGGAACACCTCCCAGCCGCGATGAGGCGGTAAGCCGTTGGGGGTAGCACTACTGACGAAATGTGAATGTTGAGATGTGAGTGAAAACCTTTTAGAAACACTGCCAATCGATTTTGATGCAAACGTATTCGAAGATAACAATTCAATAGTGAACTCTGGTTGTTGAAGTAAAAACTACTATAATCAAAAGGTCGTTGGTAGAAATCCCGATTTTTTAAAGCCAATCAATGATGCGTCCTTTGCATTTCCTTCCATTTTCGTTGAGTTTTAAAATTCTGAATTTTGTACACTAGGATGATCCTCATGGGGCAGATAGCACAACGGTAGTGATGTCCGCCATTTCGAATATGGTGCCAGTTCGATTCTGCTCCGAGCAAACCTAAGCCTCTCGTCCCTCCGGGGTCGGGGAATTGGTATCGGACTTGCCTGGGGAAAAATCACTCTTTGCAATTCAATTAGAAACGCTCCAGCTCCGCTATCTCAGGACTCCAGGGAGAATTGCTTGACCAGCATTCTACGACATTCAAAATGAAATGAAAATCCTCAAACAGCAACCGAAGCCACACGTGAAAACATTGGAAACCTTCGTGGACGATGGATACGAGGAAACGAATTGGATGTGAGAGGTGCTGGGATCCGTACAGTAGACGTGAAGACGGATCAAAATGAAATGGAAATGAAATGAAATGAAAAATGAAAGGATGATCTCCCCGAATCCCTCGAATGTGTCATTGATATTGGCAGCTGGCGCACCTGTCTTTTATCCATTCTTTTTTACTTGAAATTTCCAGCACATTCACGGCCGTAGTGGTTTTTTGACAAATGGCGTAATTTTCGATCAGAGCATTTAAGTGATTCCGAGCTTGACATACTTATAGAAGAGGCTTTGGTCTATCGCTCTAGAGATAAGGTGATGGATTTCGCAAAACCACGTTTGGATTTTTTTGAAAACCGAAATTAATAAGGGAGCTTGAAGACGAAGTTCACGTTTCTGAAATTCAAGTCTCAAATGCAGCAAGTTGGAGCAAAACCCCTCGTCCAGTCGCCTTATTCATTGCTCGAGAGATGAGCTTTGGTAGATAAAAAGTGAAAAATAATCAGTCCGTGAGCTCGAAAAAGTTGTGATTTTATGGTGATGAAGGACAAATGATGAGGTTCTCAGCATTGGTCAACCATTCAGGGATGCGCTATGCATTCGACTTCATTAAGCACCGTTTGCAGGTGATTGAATGCATATTTGCCCTCTACAATGACTCGTGGTGGCTTACCGATGTATCGAATCAGTGCCGCTAACCTTCCAGGCAAGTCCGGTACCAATTTGCCCAATCCGGAAGGGTTTGGTGATACTGGGGTGTGTAATCGATCCCACGTGTACTGCAGGGAGTCTCTAACCCACGTTCGCTTTAAATCTTATTCCGGTAGAATAGGAAAACTAGTTCCTTACTGATAAAGATTGTGATCCTTTTGGTTTCAACATCAAATAACAAAATTTATTATGAATCGAAGGCCATGGTACTCGCCCATGAGTCTTCCAATTTCGAAACACCTCGAATGTTGTAGTTATTGAAGAATTATTAAACAAAAGTAGCCGACTTATTTTCCGAGTGTGTAAAGTGGGCTGTACTTCACGACTGTCGTAGAAGTGGCGTTATTTGCACAGCTTGAGGAGCAACATGAAAAGTGACATAACTGGTTCCTTTACATGCGACGAATCTCGGGCCTATTAGTGGCGTCTCTGATACGTCAATAGATGATGGACTGGGGTTGATATAGATAAGAGATAAGCAGCTTTGAAGCGCAAGTGCGTTGAACAGGCATTGTACTGCTGTCTACTCGAGTAACTTAATAAGATATAGGGGTGTAGATAATACATTTGATGACCTAGGCCGCAAGCCATCCATTGGATCCATGTTATTTATTGTGCCTATAAGAATAATTCAGCGAAATGTTTCACTTAAAGACATGATATACCATCTAATATCATTGTGCTTGAATCTACACCAACCTCTGCTTCTTCGGGATACTCGAGCTCCCAGATTCTCTTAAGGTGTTTGCCTTTCACGTCACGTGGGGCACCGAATGACGTCATCCTCTGCAAGGACATACATGATTTCAAAAACCGCTTTTCCAGTAGTACACACGGAATGATACAGTACTACTTTAACTTTTTTCGATTGCGTGTAGTAATATCACTTTGTCAATAAATATTGTAAAAGACCTTCTGCGAATCTCCCTTGTTCCAACCAGCTTGACTAGGGATGATGGTCTCCGAAATTTTCATCGCCTCGTAAGGTAGTTCGCCGCCTTCGGCTTCGTAGGTTGTGTTTCTGCAGGTACCGAATCCGGTCATGCCCTAAAGTTCGTTAATTATCGTACCTATTGATTTACTATACCTATTAAGAAAATTCGCCGTTATGCTTTATTTCTTTTTGACGGCCATACGGAAGACTACGGGTACCTTTTCGGTGGGCACGTTATGCATTTATCTTAATAACTACGGACATATATGTTCTACCCCACGCCACTAAAAATAAAGGATTAAGTGCCTTTCTCGTTTGAAACTGTCTCTATGCTACTCAAGTCCTAGGAAGGGCACGGAATAAACGCAGTACTGTAGTTATGTTAATGCAGCAGAGACAAGTAAGTACTGCTCCGTGGTACCCTTGCAAGTGGTGACATCTTATAAACCTCCTCATCAAGAACTTTTCCTGTAACATGAGTGGGACTCGTCCAAAAAGTGTTATTTTTTTTTCATTGATTCCAAATTCTAGAACGTTGTAACACACCAGGAACATCGCCTGATAAAAGGCACCTATCAATTGAATGCTGAAATTATAACAAAAAGGAACTTTGTGTATACCGTGAAGAAAGTGCCTTGCACAGATTCTCTGTTTTGGCACACTTGTCAAGTGTGCATTGACTTAAATACATAGCTCGTGAATGTGTTTAAATCACAAGCAATTATGGAGTAGGAATTTACGATAGTATTTGTTTCAAATCACTTTGGTGTAATTTCCTAGCATGGATGTGGCTAGTTACATAATTCGCTTAGTCTACTTACGGGACTTAATAGAAACCACTGGGAAATCCTACTGCTTTTCATTAACATCGTGCAAAACTGAAAGACTACAGGGCTCTTTTTGGTACCCTTTTTAAAAGCAATTACTACCCCAAAATTTGTGTCACAGAAGCCTTAAATATTTAGAAAAGTCACTTTGCTGTTAAACTGTTGTTTGCAGCACTGCCGATTTGTTTCCATAGAGGTCGAACGTATAAGTGCCCTTGATGATCAAGAATCGTTTCTAGAGATGAAATACTCGAGACAGGTGGACTTAACTCTAAATCCTTTCTTTCCACAACCTCAATGACGCTATTGATAATGCGATGAATGTGCAGTACACTTCAGGGTCGGACAAAGCCACGAAGTATTTCTCTTGAAGTAGAAATTACTTAAACTTCTTGCAGTTCTCATAGTATCCTTTGGATGAAAGGAAACATGGGTCAGTATGTATCCTCATGCACAGTCTCGAAGAACAACGTCCAAAGAAAGACCCGATGACGCGACAACAACCAAACCCAGGACGTGTTACGGACTGATCGAAATTAATAGATAGAAGCAAGATGAGCGTAGGAAAAATCCGACATATTCATACATAACGATGATGCATTATAAAGGAGGGGTATCTAGGGTACTTAAACATGATAAAACAATAAGGAGTTCGACGTCGATCAATCGTCGAGCAACGCGTCATTCATCCGACTCAATTGGTAACATTACAGGAGTGAATTAATGCATATTTATCCTGTTCAATGACTTGCGGTGGCTAAGCGATGTATCAAGCCAGTGTTTTCATTATTGAAGACACGTTTACAGATAGGATGGATGGGGCTTTGATTTGCCGGGACGCAAGATCGAGATAATGACCACGTGTATTGGGGAGGACCTCTAACCACTGCATTACATGCGCCTTCTATTTTCTCATTCAATCACCACTCTAGTTGCCAAATAGAACAAAAGAACGCTTGTTAGTTCTTCAGCTACAGAAGAATGAGTCACGAGACGGCCTCTCGCCTCCTTATTTTTCTTTCGTAATTTTGTAACTGTCCAAATGAATTAAATTCACCTGCTGCGATGCAAACCTGTTGGTACCGGATTGCAAGCGAACCATTCCCTGAGATTTACGATTTTGCCACGAAATTGATGGGTCCAGCACCTGAAAATAGCGTCATGTTTCTAAGCATGACCATTTTAAGATACATATCTACTGTACCTCCCAACGAGGTTGACCAAACCCAGTCATTCCTTTTTGTGATGCGTATTTGTTTGAACCCATCTGACTAGGAATCGTGGTCTAAAATAAGCAACTGCATTGTTCAGAAGTCTTTTGTCCCAGTAGTACTTAGATAAAGCTGAATAATTTTTCAACAAAAAAACCTGATCAATAGAAGCCTCATGGTCATATTCTGGATGGCTGCTGTCTACCATCTTCGTGGTCTCACGACGTGACGTACCGAAGCCGGTCATTCCCTAGAAGGACTCAATATGATTCGACAAAGTCACTTGAAGAGCGTGCTCTTCGTAGTGGGATAAATGTAATATAATGGGCAAACGCGATTCAGTTCATGAAAAGTTGGTTTTTAGCATGCAGTCTCTTTAAAGAATTTCTTCTAATACCTGAAATTTCTGGCAATTCGTCAATTGATGTTATGCTGTCATAAGTAGTTAAAATACAGTCAAATTACCTAAAGTTCATAATAGTGTTCTGAAATCACAAGATGGACTTTCTATAAACCTCGACGTAATAATCGACATATATGCTGTTGCGAACTACCCTTGTTTAGCTGACGGGAGGATGGTACAGATGTTCTTATTGTTGTTGTTGTTGTTCGATGGCTGACGTTTCGGCGACTGGGCCTTCCTCAGAGCCTGGACGTGGCATGTGTAACAGTAGCGCCCTAATTCGGTGAAATCCATAATATGAATGAAGATTCCACATATGAATAGACGCAAATTCTCCAAAAACTACCCTACCGTGCCGTTTGCACCACCCGTGCTTTGTTCACGAGGGACGGTGAGTAGGGCCTACCCACGGGGATATGCATCAAAAAATCATTCTGAGATAAAGCCTCATATCACGTGTGATAGTTAGGTATTCGTCTTTTTGGTTCATCTTTGAGCTTCTGAAATTTATTCAAAATGCCTCAAGAGTCTTGGGCTCTGATGTTCTAGATTCCTGCGCTGGCATCCGAACATTTACTTCAAAATCATCACCATTTTGCTTTTGTGCCCTCGCTGCTGTTACATATGGCACGTACAGGCTGTGAGGAAGGCGAAGTCGCTGAAACGTCAACCATCGAACGACAACAACAACAACAATAAGAACATCTATACTAACCTCGAGTTGACTAAATAAGGCCAGTTCGTAAAAACATATATATATATATATATATATATATATATATAAATGCTTTGAAGTTGTCCTGAATATCTGAAGAATAGTATTGATAAAGTCGCCCACTTTCTGTGAAGCGAATTTGTTCGTTCCAGACTGAAGCGGAATCTCTGACTGATCTGGTCGTTCATGATCGTATTCAGGATGTTTCGTGTCAAGCATTTTCGTTGTTTCGCGACGATTAGTACCGAATCCAGTCATGCCCTGAATCAAGGTGATGCTCATTCTGGCTTTATCACTGGCGACTATCGTCTTCAATCAGTACGAATAAAATATATGAAACGTTAATAACGAAAAAAAGCACACAAACCTTCTGTGAGTCGTACTTGTTTGTACCTGCTTGAAGACGCACAATACCATCAGATAAACGGATCTTATCCTCAGGAAGCTCCTAAATTTCACAAAATAATAACTGGCTTGGACAAATAACATCCTGTGCCATTTAAGTAAATTCTTTGCCGCTCGCATGACTACTGGAAGGCCAGGACACATGACTTATTCTGTCAAAATCTATGTTGCTCATCAGCTTTTTAGTTTGAGAAATGATAACGCACTTCTTTATCACTTGATGAACATACGGAATTTTATAGGCAGCAGATAAAGAAGCATTACGAGAGTCTTTAGGTAGAATGGGATTTCACTGCAGATTTTCTGAAGAAACTACGATTGGAGACTTCGTGAATTTTTTCTGTGTAACAAAGTTGTCGTTGGAATTACAATGTTCTGAATTTTACTTACTGCCTACTCTTTTTTCATGGCGAGGTAGTATGTGAAATAAAACCATAAGGATGCTGAGATATGGGCAAAACTCGGAACCTCAGCTGTGTATTGAACCCAGCGATTACCCTTGCCGGAAGGTCACGGGTTATCCACCACAACAACCGAAGCCTTTGCATCGCCTTTCTCTCAGCCTTGTTTTTATTCTATCGGTGCTATCAACAATCAGAAAACTTGTATTGCAACAGTTATGATGCCATTCTTTCTACACGGTCCAGCACCATATATTTTGCTGATCCAGCGTTCCTTTCGTACAATCTTCGAATTTGGGCTTGCGTTCGGTTAGTGCTTGAGGATTTTGGTATTCCACACGAACATCGTATTTATGACTGCTGAGTGCCGGTTGAATAGATTTTTTACGGAATCCTGGGATAGCCGTGCTAGCACGTCCCCACGTGCACAACACAACAAATCGCCAACACTTTTGTGGGTCAGAGAAACCGCCTTCCCCCTAAATTAGTCTGATACTTATTTCCTAATGCCTGGGGGCTCGGGGAGGGATGGAGTAGAGGCTTGGTTGGCGCCAGAAGTGGAAAACCACTACCAATATTACTGAACGACATACCTGTTACCGCGCTATCCGCTGAATTTTAATTACAAATTGTATTCGCTACAGTAGTTCAATCGTAACTTTCCACTTTCTTTCAGTTTTTAATCGTGTTGCCAGTAGACATTGATTTTTCTATTTGGTATACACTTAAGCTTTAGTGGTGCAAAGCATGTTAAGCATTCTAATCAGCCAACAAACACTTCCACACCGGCAACGATGAGCTGGGCCACTCTCTCATACACTTAGGTCTATTTTCCTTAGAAATGAGAAAAAACGGCAGAACTCGTTCTTCTCCTGCTTTAGTTTTTCCTCGCAAGAACGACTTATCCTCTATACAAATAGGCTTAATCGCTCACTTACTAACCGTCCAAGTATTTTCTTAGCTGGAAAGTAAAACTGGAGAATGAATTTTGGAGGAACTAATGAGTCCACAAATAGCATAACTTAGATTGATAAGGAAATTAACTTCTGTGGAAACAGTTCAGATCATTTATGTCTCCTTCACTTTAGAAAGGAAAAGGCTTCGCACATATCAATTTTCAAATGCGGCGAAATAGTACCGCCTGGAATGAAGGGCTAAAACACATGCGAACTGCTTTTTGGTCACGAAACGTTCAAAAGAAAAAAAGATTAAAAGATTCTTCGCTTACCACACAGTAAAAATCTACTAGAAAAGGTTTCTTAAATTACACAGGTAGTGAATTACATTAAGAGACGGGTGCTGGAGTTCTTAGTGTCACCACATCCATAAGCGGCTTATGAAGAGGGTGGAAAAGCGTCAAATATTATAACCAGTGTTTGATGGTTTCTTTTAAGACTAATGTGGAAGCGGAATGATAGATGGACACAGGAAACCCAAAGTTAATTTAATTCGTTGGGCTTAACCTACAATCGGTTTCCGTCTTCGGTTAGAGGAGGGTGAAATGTCGAATTTCTGAAATTTGGGACAGAATGGTTGCCCTCATAAATGGGAGATAAGGTATTTGGTCTCGCTCTGGACACACTTGTAGCCAAGAGATTACGACAGTACATACATCAATTACTCACAGACAAATCTGCAGGATTCGTGTTGACGTGCTTGCCTTCCCTGCACACATCACGACCTGTTCCGAATCCGGTCATTCCACGTTGAGAGCTGAATTTATTTGTTCCGGATTGAAGACGCACCTCACCATGTGTACGATTCGCGATCTCTTCGGGAATCTCCTACAAAAAATGGTAATGCTGTTGAGAAGAGGAATGAAACCAACGCCAACTTAACTGTGTAGAGAAGGATATTTTAAAATTTCAGTACAACGACGTTCACTGTTATTTTTTCGTTATGACAACGACATTAACAACGAAGCTCTTTTATAACATAGCTTGCCTAAAACTCGATTACAAAAGCAACGGGAGTTAAAACTTTTACTTTTATTCAAACGAACGCCATTTTCTACACGCAAAGCAGAAGTCTAAGAGATCGGAATTGCGTGTATTTGTATGCATGTGTATCTGTAGATGTAGGAGTATATATACAAGCACATGTGTACATACGCTTGTATGTGTGTGTATGTGCGTAGGGGTGGTTTTGTATGTGTATGTGTGTTTTGTGTGTGTGTATGTATGTGTATGTGTATGTATGTGTGTGTGTGTGTATGTATGTCGGTGTGAGTGTCGGTGTGAGTGTCGGTGTGTCTGTGTGTCGCTGTGTCTGTGTGTCGGTGTGTCAGTGAACGCGTGTTTGTGTATCGGTGTATGTATGCATGTGTGTATGTGCACATGTGTTTATGTGTTTGTTTGTCATTTCAAAATTAAAAGCTCTCTAAAATCTCTCGGCGTTGATCAATCCCTGAGGGTTGCGCCATGCACTCGACTTCGTTAAGTATCGTTGGAGATAATTGAATGCATATTTGCCCTTTACAATGATTCGCGGTGGCCTACCGATGTATCGAGCCAGTACTGCTATTCTCCCAGACAAGTCTGGTACCAATTTGCCGACCGCGGAGGAATAGAAGGCTTGGTGGGCCATGGGTGCGGGGAATGATTCCACGTGTGTGTCGCAGTGGTGCCTCCAACCACTGCGCCACACGCGCCCCTGAACGCTGCATTTCAAAATTACGTCCATAAAATTTGTTAACATGGAACGAAAGCGACTTCTGACGATTGCCATGCCATGGCATCTCCAAGATGATTAAATAATTGGTTCAGCAAGCGATTGTAGTTAGCCCGCATCAGAAAGGTGAATTAAAAAACTTAAGAAATTACATGATTTTTGCACTAAATCACTAGAATCGATGCATTCCATGTGAAATTGATTCGTCAAACTCCTGAATCCTGGTGTATGTCGACAGTCGAGCAGCTACGGAATGACGTAGCACCCACTAAATGACTCAGCACCTCGGCAATGCTTGTAAGACTGTCAATCGCTAACGACTATAACCATCCACTTGTCAGTTTTAATTCATAACATTCCTTTCTAAAGCTCTCATTTCTACCAGCTAGTTCACAACACCCATGTACAAAAGATGAAGGAATTAAGCGCCCGGAGTTGGTAAATCCCTGAGCGATGCACCACGCATTCGACCTCATTCGTAGCACAGCAGAGATGATTGAACGCGTATCTGGCCTGTACAATGACTTGCGGTACCCCACTGATGCATCAGCGCAGTAACTCCCAAGACTGATTTCCTGTTAACCTCGGAAATGATAAATAGTTCGCTACATTATTAATAAGCATATATGTTATGATGGGTCATTCATTCAGAACGACTGACATTTCGGCTGCTTTCGCCTTTTTCGCTTATTCTTTCTCTTTGCTCTTTGTTATCTTTCTTTTCCTTTTTCCCTCATTCCGGAGATGAAATCCGCAGAAATGTCAGCTGTTGTGAACAAATAAACTGCAATATCAACCTCGTGTGTGCTTATCAAGAAAATAGCGGATTATCAACCTAGTGTTTATTCGTCCTAGACAAGTTTGTTACCAATTTTCCGACCGTGGCGAGATGAAAAGCATGGTGATCCAGGTCATGGGTTCGAACCAGTGCGGTACACGCGCCCCAGCGTTCAAGTATATCTCTATAGGAGACAAAGAGAACAGCAATTAATAATAATTTAGAAGTAGACATTTAACTATGAAAATGGAGATAATTTATTCGGCTACATGAGACGTTCGTTGAACGCCTCTGACCCACCTGAAGATTGTCGGCCTTTACTTTGGTGGAAGTGTTTCGCGGTGTACCGAAATTTGTCATCAGTTTCTGTGAATCTCCCTTGTTCCATCCGGCTTGGCTCGGAATGATACCTATAATGGCTTCAACATCAATAACGGTGGAAATAATCCACAAAAATAGAAGAATAGAAGGAAAACAAAATAGTGAACATAACAGGAATTGACGTCTTTATGTGTAAGATGGAAATCTTATCGACAATCCATTTTTCACTGGACTGTAGTAGACCTCCTCCCAATGGTTTACCGCATCATCGTGGCTGGGAGGTGTTCCTGTGTGTCTGACTGCGATGTGCAGCAGGGGAATCATCTCCCAGCAGGGTCCCCCTAGCTGATAAGGAGTCTGGTATTTCCATTAGGAAGCCTAGCTAAGAGTAAACCAATACCAGGATGCACGACCGTCCTGATATTAAAGTCGCATGAGGCAAATGTCCCTCTGATGCACAAGGGCAACGACTGCCTCTGGTGGTGAAGACTTGGGGTAGGCTTTGGCTAGGCTGACCTCGGGATTTCAAAGAACAACCACAGTAGCTTAACCAGGAAATTTTCGAAATGAGGATTATGCTGGGACCGGCACAAACACTGAGGACGGGGCATTCAAGTACCAAGTATCATGCAGACCTCAATTTTAACCAGGTTTCCTTGGAAAATGCTTATTTTTGACTATGAAGTTGCAAATAATTGCAGTCGTTTCTTTACAATATCTTTGTAATCGAACTGTTTTAGGACTGGTATCATAGTCAAGAAAGCACCAAAGTTGTTCTTAGCAGAAATGTGCGTACGGTAGCGAGAGGAATGAGAAAGAAGACTCACCATCGGTCTGTCGGAGTTGAGCGAGAGTCCAACGGCCCACACGTTTCGGTGTCCCCTGCCCGGTGACCGTCGTCTCCATCGTCGCATTCGGCTGTTCCTCTGGAAGAATGCAATTTTTTTTCTTCTACTCTTTTTTTGCTGTGTATCTTTTGTACAGTGCTCATCACCGTCAAAAAAGACCTAATAGAGTTCGGATCTTGCAAATTTATAGAAGATAGTCTACTCTATTCCATCAATTGCATATAAAAAGGATAAAGCTCTCGGCAGTGATCAATGCTTGAGGAATGCGCCTTCCATTCCACTTCATTGAGCACCGCTTGGAGGTGATTGAATGCATATCTGGCCTTTACAATGATTCGTGGTGACCTACCGATGTATCGAGCCAGTGCTACCATCCTCCCAGACAAGTCTGGTATCAAATTGACGACCCCGGGGAATGGAAGGCTTCGTGAGCCATGGGCGCTGGGTTCGATCCCACGTGTGTCGCAGGGCGCCTCCGACCACTGCCCCACACACATCCCCCAATTGCATATATAATTTTTATACAGTGTCATGACATTGCAAAGGTGCTTGGAATTAAAACTAACGAAGAACTGGTAACAAAATTTAAATTTTTAAAATTTTTGGGGCAAAAGCGGAAGTTACAAACATACACGATGCATTCTGGAATAGCACCGTATTTTACTGGACGGGATATCAACCGTCGCTTTGCTTTCGTGTCCGGATTACAAGCCTTTGTGAAAAGAGAGATAAATATGTGTCACTGACTGCGGAAAATCAGAATTTTATCTTGATATAGTTGGAAAGCTTCTATAGAATCGGCAAAGATTTGCAGATCTCAACCGTTTTTATTCCAATTGATGAAGTTTAACGTAAACTGAGGTCTGAACTTGCCTTCCAATTAAAAGTGGCTATTATCTCTCACCAGATGCATTGTATTCAATGCGTATGGGGCATTGTGTATTAAATTGTACTAAATAACACTCAATTTAAAGAGAAAAAAAGTAAAAATTAGTATTCTTCAAGTACGAGCAAAGATGCAGGAACCCATACTCATCAGTATTGCCCACGAATTACTCAAGAGTTAAGACGTATTTTTTTATGTTGTTCGAGAACTACTTATAACCTATTAAGAATGGTGAAGAACAAGTTGTAAAACTTAACTTATTGGTTCATCAATCGAGAACATCTTTACACGAAAATCAATAATTACCAATTCGATTTCGACTAGTGTAACAGGCCTCCATTAGGTTTAAACTTGAAGAGCACCGATAAACAACAATGTCTCTCAGTCATCTTAACAGCTTCTGTTCCTCTAAGAAAACATTGTCACCATAGCAAACTAGTGATTTTGTTTACTAAAGACTTACTGCATAGTTCCTTATTTGTATCGTATTTGGAGAAGGCACTATGATGATTCAACTGACGAGCAGGTGCCACTTCATGTGTTTCGTTTGTGCGTTTGTCCGATTTCTTGCTGATACCGGAGAATTCTGGATAGTCCCCGAAGATTTTCTTTCTCATGGGTGCTGCTACAAATGTTGAATAATGTTTGGGAAAGATATTTATATTCTTCTGATTGTCGATTACAGAAGCTCGAGGACATTCTTCATTCTCCCTAGTGGGATCGAACACACGCTCTGGCGTTTGCCGTTCTACTGCTTGCACTTGTCGTGGGCTCAGTGGATAGTTAAGTTGTTTCTGATATTCAGTAGGATAGTAATATGAAGGAAATCCTAGAGAACGAGGGCTGAGACCATCTTGTACAGTGTACTGTTTGTATGACATTTTTGAGCAGTAGTTGAACATTACTAGAAAACGTGGAGAGAATTAAGAATATTGGTGACAGAAAGAGTAGGTTTGCGTAATTTTACGAATGAAAGCACTCGAAAGGATTCTCATATGGTCATCAGGTATGCGAAAATTCCTGGAGTCGGCAGTGTGACAAGGGAGAGTGTAGCCTGGATGACACCGTCGAAAAGCGCAGAGAAGCTTTCGCAAACGATTTCCATTCGCTGTTTGTTCTGCCAGTAGAGTCTGCCGCGCGAATTGCTAACATTGGCAGCAGAGAAACCGATGAGAGAGGAAAGAGAAAAGTCGTCGATGATCTGGACGGACCTCTTCGATTACGTAATGGAATCCGAGAACAAATCCATTAGTCATTCTGTTCCACTTCTAAGTTTTAGAAGAAGATATTTCTTATTGATTCTTAACACTTAGGGCCGATCCACTCGTATGGTTCGAAAGTAATAGCCTCTTTGAACTTAAAACCAACATATCTCAGCTCAGAGTAAATTTTCTTAAATTCTATATGAAGCATTAAAATGCACAAATTTTTGACTACTTAATAAAAGCTCAATTGTTTGACGAAGACGGAACTCTGACTTTTGGTGTCCATCAAACGTACTTCGCACACTTTTCTTTCGTCGAAGTTTCATCTCGAATATAAAAGAAACTAAACCAACGATGTCTTCTTTCTTTCATAAACTTAAATCTTAAGCTCATAAAGCTCTTAGCTCAATATTAAAAATATCAAGTAAACAAACGATTTTTCGTCCTTTAAGAGGTGATGACGTCCCCAAATAAGTTCTTGGTGTCTATGACTTTCAGAATTTCATTTGGTACTTTAAAAAACTTAAAACTCTCTTCTATTTTTCTACAAATTTCAGTTTTCAACGATTTTCAAGACTAAATAACAGTTTTAAAAACCATACTTACCCATAATAGGTGAAGCGGGGCTATTTTAAGAGTCATTCACGTTTTCAATACCTTAGGTTTGCCACTAATCCAAAAGTTATCACCATTTCGCAGAAGCCCGGTTCGTCTCCAAAGTGTTTAAGCTCAAGTGGCTCTGATATTTTTACCAATGCAATCAATGAGAACTGTATTCCTCAAACAAAGAGTGAAAATAACTGCCGAAAGACTCCAGACCAACAGGTTCACGTAAAATTCATACAGCATGCTAAAGTTATTTGAGTAGCTGACTGAGAGATATCCTCAAATATTAAGTGAATTGCAATAATAACCATGAAGACATAATTTCTTGAGAAATTTAGCGACTGCGAAGATCTTTGAAACAATGGGAATATTGATATGAAAGTAAGAAGATCATCGAATTGTTAGCTTATTCCATCAGCCTTATTTTCCTATTTCACCGCTGCTGCCATCCCTTACCAATCGTTTGTTCAGTTTCTTTCATAACGTTAACTGTCAGAACATAATGCAAGTAGTCTCGATAGAACCTTCAAGGCGTGAACAAACACCATATTCTTGCGGCCTTGACAGGATAGAACTTATTTTGGATGTCGAGAAAGTGGAAGCGATTCGCAATTGAAAGTTCCGTCTCCTAATACCGTCTACCAAGCTGGGGATTTGAGGGTTTCTATTTGGAAGCACAGGGAAGAATAAACTCCTTTAAAGCACAGCCCATTTAGCCACCTTCTCACACAAGGTTCACAAATGGGGGTGCTAATAAACGGATATTATGTGATTTTTCCTAACTGTCAAGCTAGTAGAGCTGAGTAGGCAGCTTTGTTGTGCTGCATGGATTGCTAGAGCTTTAGTGTTCACTTGATCTGTTTGATAAGGTAGGCTATCAACATGATGACAGTTGAAGTGGTGAAAAGTATCGAAGGAGTTATAGATCTTATAAGAGTATCAGTGATGACACAGTGAAGAACAAGACGAAAACCCTCGACTTTACGTCCACTATTTTCTCGACTTTGCAACTCGTTCTGCCTCAATGCACTCTTCGGAAACCCAAACGCTACATAAACAGGATAAAAGACTACTCTGCGTTGTTGGACACAATATCGAGAGAATATGCTAAAAATTGGGATGATTCTAGTCGATTGTCCAGGATCAGTGAGTGGAAACAGATCAGCAGTGTAATTGGCCTGTACAAAAGGACCCGGCGAGTGGGGAAACTTCATTCGAGCGGTGCTCTACTCCACAGAATTCAACTTGGTGCGACTACGAAGATTCACATCGTAAAGACGAACGGCTATGGACACTCAGCTCGAATCATAGCGGCTCCGAAAAAGTCGATAGCGAGAAAGCGCCAATAAATTAGAAATTTTATAAGAACCTCGTTATATCTTAATAATCCAAGGAAATCATGGCAATTCACATCTAGGTTAAACGATAGTCGGTTTTGAGGAAAATATGCTAGGAGTATCCACTATGAGATAAATTAAATGTACAATTCCGACTTACGCAAACAATCAATGATGAAACAAGCTGCCGTATTCGTGAGGAAGCAGCAAAATTCGGTGGATGATAGGCTAGCAAAAACCTGGATGAACGACAACCGTTAGTTACTAAATTACATGAAATGTTAGTCTCATAATAGTCAGAGCAAAACTGCGCAATGAACGAACTTCTTCACAGCTGTGTTAAGCAGAACTCCCTGCACAACTTTTTCAAGAATTCAGAGGCAAGTGGAAGCTTTAGTTATATTTGCTCGTCTCATTTGATAATCAGGAGTCAACAGGAGATATGCATAGTAATCCACAAACGAACTAGTCGACTTAAGTGGATAAGCTGCCATTTCAAACTTCTCGTGGCTTTTTTTCACTTTTTCATGCAGTTTTTTGTAGTTTTTGTAGTAGTTTAACTTCGAAATTTTGTCTTGTTGCTCTCGCTTTAGGGCACGTATGGCGCAGTGGTTGGGGGCGCCACTGTTTCACACGATCGCTCTCCGCGCCCATGGCCCGTCAAGCGTTCAACCCTCCGGGGTCGGCAAATTGGTACTAGACTTGTCTGGGAGGATAACAGCACTAGCTCGATAGATCGGTACGCCACCGAGAGTCATTGTAAAGGCCAGATATGCATACAATCAACTCCAGCGATGTTTAATGAGGTCGAATGCATGGCGCATCCCTCAGCGATTGATCAACGCCGAGAGCTTTATTCTTTTTTACTTTGTCCTCTCTCTACGGAAAGTAAGAAAAGTCCGAATAACAAAGTAAAGATTTAGTAACAAAGTAGAATAACAGGTATGAATTATACATATCTAAGCTTCATGCCACAACCTTATTTTGCAGTATACTTGGTAAGAAGATCATGAAAGGAATGGCCAAAAATAAATATCGACCTTGTAAAAATCTTCTATTACAGTAGTGTAGCTGTATTATTGGCCCAAGTAAAAATATCTACTTTGTTCTGAAGATTAAATGATTAAATGGCTGAATATTTATGACTACAAAGCCCAGTAGACCATTGGAAATAAAAGAAGTAAAAGACATTTGCTATACCTATTAATTCGTCATCGACAATATTTTTTTGAATTTAAATTCTGTACAAAATATGCTGGAAGAGTTTCTGGATTTTCATCGGAGTTTCGCTCAACGGTGAATGTTAACCCATCTCTTTTTACACCAGGGGGATATGCTTCGATGGATTTGTTGCTTGGGCAGGCAACGTGGGCGGTGGCGGCTCTCTCTTTCCCTCTCAGTTACTTTGTGATACCTGGTTCTCACCTGTTTCTCCCGTGGGCGGCATTCTCCTGAAACTACAT